TACTGTGAATAGACACCACTTATTTTTTTTACCTACAGATTTGTGGTCATCATCAAACCTAAGGCGCTTTCCATGTGAAACCGTCTTGTCATTTGCACTCAGACATTTCCTTGGATGTTTCCCGCGTGAAGCTGGATTATCGTCGGTCACATGGTCCCGTGATGCCTCAGGGCTACTTGTCGAACTGGGCCTAAACGCTGGCGATCTAGACGTGATTTCGTCTACCATGCAGCGTGGTTCACGCCCTGCAGAAGTACTGGGTACAGCATCAAATCCGGGTGGTGTTAAGAGCCCCGTTGTTTCAACCAAATGGGTTAAACCTACTACAGAAAATATTATTAATAGTATTAACCCCTCAACAAGTAACACAGACAAAACTATAACACAACCGCTGACTTACCAAGAGGATTCAGTAATAAAACGTATTTGCAGATTCTGTAACAACGGAAATGTATGCATTATTAAGATGAACATCAACAACTACAAATAATGAAAAAAAATGAATAAAAATGATGACAAAAACTTACAAAGTTAAGACAATCCCTCAATGCTTCTAATAGCAAAGATTGTTTCAAGCTCAGATGCACCTTGACCAAGAAAGTCCTTTAAGCAAAAAGTTGAAACACTGTTTGAAATGCTTGCAAATTTACTTACAAGAAATTTGGATAAAGACTGTAGAACACATACTTACCAAGAACGCAGGCCATGTTGCTTCCAATTGAAAGGTCGTTGGTGAAAATGTGTTACTTTCGGTCAGCTATATACACCATTTTCTCAAGAAACACCCATGCCATAGCATATTGCAATCCTTTGTGTTTGATTGGCCCGTGCTTATATGCATGAATACCGCATCATCACCGCACAATCCCCCCCCCCCCTTAAAATTTAAATCCACAATCTGAAATTAAACCTTTAAAATGCCTTACATTACACATTTTTGAGCTCACCCACTACCAATGTGTCCAGACGGTTAGTCTAACGATACAGGAAACTTACTCACATCAAACAATTTTGTGAAAGCTACCAGACGTGTTTAACACATGGCTAGAGACACACTGTCACACCTTTGATTGTACACATGGCAAGGGGTGGGGGGAGTGACCCCACCAAAGACAGGACGCTGACATCTCAACGCATCCTGTCACAAATCTTTTAGGGGGGTGGTGGTGGTGGGGGTACGGACATCGTGACCTGTCACAAATCTTTTTGGGGGTGGTGGTGGGGGACACAGACATCTTGTCAATCATATTGGCCTGTCAATCATAGGGGTCATAAATCATGGGTCATAAATCACTCAGGGTGGGGGGTCATAAATCGCTCGTTTGACAGAACGTGTATGATTCACACTACTGTGACCGGCAGCCTGTACGGTTTTATGTGGTTAAAAAAAAAAACAGAATTAAACTCAAATGAAACTGAAAATGAATAACTGTTAAAAAAGACCGTCTAAGTTACCAATGCTTTTTATTATTAAGAACTATCACAAAAGACAAAGATCTGTACATTAAATATACTAATTACAGAGCAAAAATAAATATGGGAAATACAAGGAAAATGAGTAAACAACTGAATGAATGAATAAATAAATAAATAAATAAATAAATAAATAAATAGCTCTAGAATTAAGATATGACAAGGCGTCAAAGATGCTTTGAGAAGCTCCTCTTTCCACAGGTTAAACTCTTGTTGGCCAGAAATGTTTTGAGTTCTTGTCCAGAATGAACTGCAGAACAGACAGCAGCTCCCTGCGAACCACTTCCCACCCGCACACACTGAACTCCTGTCAATGTATCACAAACACACAAAGACGTTTTTATTACGTGTCCAGCATCACAGTCATAAATGAATGTTTTAAGTTACAGTAGAGGACAGAGAACGTTCTTCTTCTCCTTTAGAAGCTCTCATACCTTTTCTTTCAAAAGTTTCTCGAGTTTCTCAAAATAGTCTGTAAGTGCAGCGTCTCTCGCAGGAAAATCATCTTCTTCCTTTTGTGTTTTGATGCTCATAATCTGCAACAACAAATCAAATCTACGTTTAACACACTTCATGCAGACATTCATCCTGTTCACCTCTTCACTTCATGTATTTAAAAGCCTCTTTAACTTTCTTACACATTTGCTCTCCTCGACCTGTCGGTCCACGATGATCTGAAACTTTACAAGCTTATCAGCGTCCCAGGACTGTGGAAAACCGTCGTTCTCCATCAGAGAGCTCACCTTCATCAGGGTCTTATAAACAGCCTTTGCAGCCCCCACATCCTGCACAGAGTGATAAACACAGCCTGCTGACCAAAGCGTTGATAAAGTTTGGCCAGACAAACCTTCAAGCTTCTATCCAGAATGAAGTTCTGGAGCAGATCTGATGAGGAAGAACTGACCTGTTTGGAATTGCTGGACAGCAGAGCCCATGTGGGAGATCTTATTTCAACTGGACTGTCGTCCAAACATTGTAAAGGAAATGGGCCAGTCTGTCAGAGGACAAAGAGAGTCAAGAATCAAATGACCATGAAGGAGGACACAAAGAATCTAAAGTGTGTGAGATGAATCTCCTGTCAGCGCTTCTTCGTCTACATACCATGGTCTCCAGCAGGTCGTGTGTTTTTGCCACCAGCGTCCGCTGAAGCTGGCATTTAGTGGGCATTGAGCTGACCTGCGCAATGCAGAGAAGAGTGCTGATCCAAGACAAACGCTGAAATGCCATTCTGATACTGGACTGAAGAGGAGGAGAGAAGAGATCATGGTTAGTTTGTAGATTTGAACATCGCAAGAAGTGAGAAGCTGCAGTCTAATGATAAATGCACGAGCTACCTGCGTTCAGGACTGTTAGGAAGATCTCCAGAATATCTGCTCGCTCTGGGGTCCATGGTGCGGGTTTTGTACTGAGGATCATTGGATGTTTGAAAAGTGAAAGTCACATTTGAAAATAGCAGATAATCTTTTCAGTACGGGAAAGTTGGACATTTTCCTCTTTTACGTCATGTTTCAGTTTTCACTTCCACTTTCTTCTATTGCTGTCATTGATTGTGGAATTTATGGTGGAAACTAAAGCAAAATAACTAAGGAATGTATCTGTCTATCTGTCTATCTATCTATCTATCTATCTATCTGTTATTAAATACTGTTTATTAGATCTCTTTTATGATTCATTCAAACACAATGACACTTTAAAAAAAATGACCAATGCAGATCTTTCATCTTATATTTAATATCTGGTTTTATTAAAATATAAAAAGCACAATTCATCACGCACAAAAAACTTTTTAAAATTCCTTACCAGCAGTTGAAAAATACATACATACATGAATAAATAAATAAGTAAATGAATGAATGAGTTGATATATTTTATTTTTAATATTCTGAGGAAATCTGTTTTTCCGGTGAAGAAGATTTTTCTACTTTTTACTCAGAACATCCTGAAACTTCCTGAGACTCTGGAGAACTTCATTCCTCACCAGCTCCCAGACACACTTGCTGAATCCCTTTACAAACATAAAATCAACATTCATATATTAACCTGTTTGTACAAATATTATGTCCACAATCTGTTTGTGGTGGTTTTAAAGCCTGGGATGGCTTTACACCAGATATGGGAACATTGCTGTGAGGAGCGGATTGCATTTAGCCAGAAGAGCATTTATTATCGAGGTCATGTGCTGATGTTAAATCATTAGTTCAGGATCGCCACTCCAGCTCATACCAAAGGTATCGGATGGAGCTTCTTGACTCCAAAGAACACAGATTCACTGCTCCACAGTCATATGTAGGGGGACTTTATAATCCTTCAGGCGACGCTTGATATTGCGCATGGCGACCTAAGGCTCTTGTGCGGATGAACGTCATTTTCAGTTGGTCAGTGCTTTTCTTAGAATACTAAACAATTTTGTGTGCACAATTGAACGTCAGTCACGGGTGCAGGTAAAAGTAGCTGAATTGATGCATTAGAAGGGCTCACCAAACACATTTGGACATGCAGAGCATCAACCCTGTCCTGTAAAGGGGTTTCATTTAGTTTCTGCCAAAAGCTCTACGATAATCTTACACATAAAATAATAACGACTGCATTAACGTACAGTTCGATTTTAATTTTCCAATAAATCATTTTATTATGCAGAAAAGCTTTAGGTGTTGCATCATGATAGAAATAGAATGACATCATCACTGGCGTCACTTTCCCTTTCACTCGTAGGTTTTAGTTTGGTGTTGGTAATTCCCTTTACCTCTTAAGAATGAATATTCGGTTTAATTCGAATTACAACGTCTTACTTTTAACCAAAGGAAAGTGAAATGGAGTCAGCAGTAAGGCTGGTTTTATTTGTGGTCTTTCTCCGGATAGTCGACTTTCTCTGATCGATTTCTCATGACGTCACATCAAAAACGATCAAACCTATATTTTCCCACTTCTGTTAAGAAACCAATTAAACATATTACAATATTACTTCAACATTAACATATTACTTCATGTTCTTCCAAGTGTGGGATCGGTAGTCCAAAAATATGTTAAAATGTACAGTTTTTTTGTTTTAAAAACATAAAAATGAGGCTGGCCTCATTGAGTGCTTAGCACTTAACGGAATGTATGAAGACATTTTAGCTGCGTTTAAATTTGAACGTAATGTTTCCTAAACTTTTGAAAATTTCAGCAAATAAATGTTGCAGTTTATTGTATTAAATCTTTATTATAATCGGTTCAGTTCTACATGTTTTTATTTCAGCTCTCCTGAGCTTGATGTTTTATTAAATCTCTTTCATGAATGAAAAAAAAAAGAACTTTTATAAATGAGCAAGGCAGATCTTTCAACATATATTTAATATCTGGTTTTATTACAGTATAAAAAGCATAATTCATCACACAAAAACTTGTAACAAATTCGTTACCAGCAAAAGGAAATAAATAAATAAATAAATAAATAAATAAATAAATAAATAAATAAATTCTAATACTATTTTTAAATTTTAATATTCTGAGGGAATCTGTAGTTTTTCCGGTGATGAAGATTTTTTCTACTTTTTACTCAGAACATCCTGAAACTTCCTGAGACTCTGGAGAACTTCATTCCTCACCAGCTCCCAGACACACTCGCTGAATCCCTTTACAAACATAAGATCAACATTCATATATTAACCTGTTTGTACAAATATTATGTCCACAATCCGTTTGTGGTGGATTTATTTCTAATAATAATAACTTTATTTAATTGACTGCAGTTCAGTTTAGTTCATTTCAGGTTACTGACCTTCACTCTCAGCTTCTCCTCCAGCTCTTCAAAATAGGACTTCAGTTGACCAATGCTGCCTGCAGAGGGACTGCCCACTGCACTCTGGGATGCATCTTCTCCAACCTTGAAAGATTTAATGGACAGTGTTTTTATGGATATTAATGTAGCATGTTGATTATTGACTGAACTGATTTCCAGAAACAATCGCACTCCGACATATTTAACGTACACATTTCTGCAGATTCTCCACTTGTCTAGAAGAGATGATGTTCTTGAAGAGTCCGAGTGTTTCTCGGTCCCACGTGACAGATGTTTGGTCGTTCTTGAAGATTCTATCAACACCGCTCAGAGTTTCAAGAGCAACAACAGCCAGATCTTCATTCTGCACAACAGCGACAATTACACTCGTTTACTGTTTGACTTTTTTTCATGTGAAATTTTTCTTCTCGTTTTCTGACTTTGATATTTACCTGTGCATTTAAGAACACGTCATCTGGGAGCGCGCGCCATCCTTCCTCCAAACACTTCAACGGCATCGGAGCCCCCTGCAAATGAGAGTGAAAGACACTCAGAGGACTTTCACTAAAATGCAGGATTTGTAATGTTTCTCAGAATGTAAAGGTTCCTCACCATCTCCTCCAGCAGCCTGATGCTCTCCTCATTCAGATCTCTCAGTCTGAACTGCGTCCAGGTACATGGGATCACTGCAGCATCAGCCACATGCAGCACCACAAGGACGATGCTCAGCACCTTCAGAGCGTCCATCACTCAACTAGTAGACAATAGAGTTTATGGAGAATTAGCAAACAGTGAGAATGAAGAGTGGCACCAGTCTGTCTCTTTTTATTGGAGTTCTTGTGCGGTTTGTGGGTTCAGTTGCCCTCACGTCTCAAAACTACAGAGGAACCCGGGGGAATTACTTATCTGTGGTCCAGAATCAAAACTAGTATTTCATTCTTTATGTTTCTGACTGCTCTGTGTGGCGTTAATATTAGTATTAACGTTATTATTATTACTAGTATAGGTGTCTTTGTGCTGGACATCACTTGTGTATCAATAAACGTGTGTAAGGGACATCATCTGGTTCAACTCACGGGATTTTCACTAGATATGTAAATATGTATTTATTGCATCACTGGCTTAATTTGCTCTTTCATTAATGTCATTCATGGTCGTTCTTCTAGCGCTGCCTGCATGTATTAGAGTGTTTATATTAGCATTACTGCATGACTTGCTTTTTTGAATGACTCGTTTTAGCACTGAGGATGTTTGAGGGGCGCTGTTTCAGTGTCACATGAAGTCCATTGGAAATGTAATCTATTCAAAGCTGATAAAGTGTCTGATCTCCCTGAAATTAAAGTAAACCTAGATTTATTTAAAAACAAACCCCGTTCAAGTGCCGACACTTGCACGGGCTCCAGGTATTGCATCATGATTTAAATATGAGTTACGTAACTGACCTGACTTTCCCTTTCATTCATCAGTTCATTTTTGCTGAAGACTCGGTAAATCCCCTGTTCTCTTCAGAGGGACTTGAAGCCCTTTTTACGTTTATCGAGTGGAAACAGAAATCAATTCAATGCTTCCACAGAAAGAAAGCACCGCGATTTTCAATATGAAAGTGTTAATATTTTACTCACAGCCAATCAGAGGATCCACAGCTCTTGTGACGTCATTGATGGATCAGAAAATAATGACTGAGCACGCAGGCTACTGTAGTGCCCAATAATAACCGGGAACTGCCCAATCAGCTAATAATCAGGTCAACGTATTTTTTTTAAATAAACAGCTGAAATGCGTTGAGTTCTCTGAACGGGACTCAAACGGAGTTTAAAAGATCTCCTGATTCACATTTTATTAAAGCATCTCAGTGAAGTCAAGAAACCCTTTAAGCCGAGTTTATGAAAACGTTTGTGAAAAGGAGCACAGTCCTTCTAAGATAAAACGGCATTTGTTTTCTTTTTATCGGATTAATACTAACATTTTTAATTACTGAGATTCGCGATATTTTACTGTCGTTTCACACAGGTCGATACTGTATTCATTATTTTGTTATGAAAGCAACTCACCTGAAGATTTGTTTAATGAACCAGCATATCGCTATGAGGTTGATGTTGATCTGTGTTCCACAGCATTATGGGATATACAGCAGTCAAATGGCGTTACCTTTATAATAAAAACATGTTTTTAACCCGATGAATCCGATTTTGGTGTTTTAAAGACGTCAAAGTTTTCTGCTGGAATTTTTCAGATTGTTTCAATGCTAGAACACTGAGGTACACTCTCAGAAGTAAAGGTAGTAAACTGTCACTGGGGCAGTACTACAGGCACTGATTTGATATTTTCTAAGTAATAACTGTGAAAATGCTGTAGATTTACAGTACTTATTTTAGGGTAATCACTGGTTTGTTATTTTACAGGATCATACACTGTTAGAAATAAAGGTTCTGTGCAGGTACATTTTTCATTCATAAAGGTGCAAACAATGTAAATGTTCCCTCAAAGGTACAACACTGGTTTTAAGGTCCATTTGTGAAACTTAAATAAGTTTTTCCAGGTGAAAAGTACATAATTGTACCTTTTCATAACCTAATGTTTCACAAACAAACAACAAAATAAAAAGCCTGGAGATGAGACGGGGTGTGTGGCATCAATACTACTTAGAAAATATAATTTCAATGGATTATGGTACAATTATGTTCCCTGACTAAAGGTACTGAGATGTACCCTTGAGGGTCCCATCCCAGTGACAAGAGGGGCACTGCCCCAGTGACAGTTTAGTACTTTTATTTCTGAGAGTGTACTATAAAAGACTGGCCGGTTAGAGTGGTGCATTTAGTTTACAGTATCATACCAGACAAGGCAATTTAAGTAATTTATTGGCAGCAGAGTTGCCAGTGATGTCCCGTACATTTACAGTAAATAATTGCACATTTAATATACAGTAAAATACTGTAAACTATTTAGCATAAAAGGTAAACTGCCAGGGATAGAACTTTTAGAATAGGTGAATGAGTAAAACACAGACATTTTATTGGGGTGGAACAGGAAAATTATTGGGGTGGCTATAAAAAAATTAATAATAAAATGGCATTGCTGTGTTAAAATGACATAAATGTATCTGACTGGTCTGCATGGTGTTGATATTAGTATTAACATTAATATTATTAATATTAGTGTTGTTGTCCTGAACATTACTTGTTTACCATTAAACCTGTGTGAGGAACATCAGTTTTTGCAGTTTCTCTGTGGTGTTTCACCCTTAAGATGAGCTTCATTGCTTTTGTTCTGTCAAGATGTGATGCCTGTCACACTTCATGTCCAAAAGTGTGTAGACACCTGTTCATCCAGCGTCTCTTCCAAACTCAAGAGCATTAAATAGGGGTTTGAACACCCTTTGCTGCAGCCTCTAGTCTTCTGGCTTTACACCAGATATGGGAACATTGCTGTGAGGAGCTGATTGCATTTAGCCAGAAGAGCATTTATTATCGAGGTCATGTGCTGATGTTAAATCATTAGTTCAGGATCGCCACTCCAGCTCATACCAAAGGTATCGGATGGAGCTTCTTGACTCCAAAGAACACAGATTCACTGCTCCACAGTCATATGTAGGGGGACTTTATAATCCTTCAGGCGACGCTTGATATTGCGCATGGCGCCCTAAGGCTCTTGTGCGGATGAACGTCATATTCAGTTGGTCAGTGCTTTTCTTAGAATACTAAACAATTTTGTGTGCACAATTGAACGTCAGTCACGGGTGCAGGTAAAAGTAGCTGAATTGATGCATTAGAAGGGCTCACCAAACACATTTGGACATGCAGAGCATCAACCCTGTCCTGTAAAGGGGTTTCATTTAGTTTCTGCCAAAAGCTCTACGATAATCTTACACATAAAATAATAACGACTGCATTAACGTACAGTTCGATTTTAATTTTCCAATAAATCATTTTATTATGCAGAAAAGCTTTAGGTGTTGCATCATGATAGAAATAGAATGACATCATCACTGGCGTCACTTTCCCTTTCACTCGTAGGTTTTAGTTTGGTGTTGGTAATTCCCTTTACCTCTTAAGAATGAATATTCGGTTTAATTCGAATTACAACGTCTTACTTTTAACCAAAGGAAAGTGAAATGGAGTCAGCAGTAAGGCTGGTTTTATTTGTGGTCTTTCTCCGGATAGTCGACTTTCTCTGATCGGTTTCTCATGACGTCACATCAAAAACGATCAAACCTATATTTTCCCACTTCTGTTAAGAAAAGAACAAACTCCAATTAAACATATTACAAACATGTTATTGGGCTGAAGTGTATGGCTCTTAAGCAGAAATTCAATGCTTTTATTAATAAGTGATCGATTTTCTAAGTTTTATTTCTAGTAGTTGCTCACGACTTTTTTACTGAGATATATGTGCATTATTGTGTATTATAAATCATAATCTGTTGTACAGTTTTTATTGATATAAAGACAGTCTAAAGTATTGAATTAAAGCAATATTAATAAGCCTTAAGATCAGATAAGAGAGCATAATGTAACACCTTCTTAGTCCATGTTAAATAGAAATCTAAGCCTTCGGTTTAGAACACAGTCAGTCTGTATAGTATTTATTTACAGCTAATAGATGATTTGTGATTGGGATGTTGACAGGACCTGTAAGGAAACACGAAAATTGAGCTTGAAGATCTAAATTCACCATGAAGTCCTTGTAAAGAAAATTCAGAGATTTGTTTCTAAACACATCATACTTGTTATTCATTATTGCTGACACTATGTGAAAATACTGTAAACTATGTAGTCCTGAATTGCGGAGTTAGATCGTTGAAGTGTTTTTCATCCTGGGGCTAAAATGATGGCTCGATGACGCTCTAGAGCCACACTTAGCATGACCCCTCCCCAACACTATAACGGTACAAAACTATAGAGTCATACTTAGCATGACCCCTCTCCTAACATTATAACAATAAAAAACTAGAGCCACATTTAGCATGACTCCTCCGTTAACCCTATAACAGTTTAAACTAGTTTCGCAGTTATGATGACTTCTCCTCTTACATTATAACAGGATCAAACTAGAGCCATATTTACCATGACCCATCCCCAACACTATAACGGTGTACAAACTAGAGCCATACTTAGCATGACCCCTCTGTTAACACTGTAAAATACTAGAGTGTATTAGCATCAGTGTTTCTGCAGTCTCACTTTACTTGGATGGGTTACGCTAGTCAGTAATGACCGTTCTGTTGCAGACTGAGAGGAACGAGGTTGATTCTCGGGTAGGTCGGTGTCCTGTGGCTCCAAACTGGATTCTGGCTTTGGTGGCTCAAACATTTATAGCTGTAAAAGTCCAACAGTTCAGTTCAATCCTACCTAGCGAGCTAACGGATATGCTAACGTTAGCTTCCTATTCACCAGCTTCATATTCGAATCTTCCCGGTTAACCTTTAATGGTGCAGCAGCTACAGTCTGGTGAATATGAAGCTGAAGAGGGGCTGCACCTTTGACCGACTGGGTGTGGTTTCAGTGCATTCAGCGGACACGCCCCCAGCTTTTCACTGCAGAGAATGCTGCTCATTATGTCACGATTTTGAAACCTAATTTTACCAATTCAGTTTTTTAATTATTCGCATTTGGCTGTGTGGTTAATAACACATTATGTTGTGGTGTAACAACTTCAGAACACATAGTGATTTCAGCTTTACACGGATTTTAAATGGATATCTCAGTCTTCACTTTAGAATTTGGGCTCAGTTTGTCTTAATTTTG